AACACAACACAACGCTCACTCTCACCACCCATTTTCCGGTTTACGACGTCCACTCATAGCTGTAACTGGTGAGGCGGGCTCCGGTCGTCGATGCTGTGTGTTCGAATATCATGAGACGATGCGGTCGAAATCCCAGGGATAGAGCGAACTATCTCGCGATCACGCGGACTTTCACAACATTTACACACACAAAGTGAGTACACTTACGTTTTGTATTCATCTGCTCCTTCAGAGTTGTGTGACATGCAGTCAATCACAACGGTCCGTGCGAGGTGATGTGCTTGCTCCCAGGCGGGGCTCTCCCTGAATAACGAGACATCTCGTGTGTTTGCTCATGGTCCGGTGCAACGTGGTGAGAGGGAGGTTCTGGACCGACACGCTGACGGTGCAAGCACACCGCCCCGCAACACTGCCGAGCCAAGAAGGGCCTCGATGGTCACGACCTGTCAGAGTCCCCAATTGGGCTGCGTGCGAACAAGGACTTAAGCGGTACGATGACGCTCATGAACCCGAGGACAGCAGCCATGGGATTGAATCTGACCTGAGGCCCTTTGCCTCGGTCATCCCCTCTCTCTTTCTCATTCACTCGTCCAAACTTTAAGTTTCAGTGACCATGAAAACAACAGATTCTATTAGGAGAGGGAGCTGGAGCAAACATAGCTGCACAATATGTGACTGGCATGTCACAAAACTGAGGGACAGATTAATAAAAATATCATTAGGTGAAATCTTGAGACAAATTACTATCTTTGATCTTATTCATATATAATTGGAACAACACCACACACACACAATTACTGTTTTACATTAAAGAAAATTAACTTTCTTGTTGTTTTTGTTCATCTATTCATTTATTTTATTGTACTTAATGAACTGTATTCTTTATGGGACGTATTATTATTCATTTCAATAAATTGTATTTTTTTTCCTTTCATGTTTGGCAGTAATTGTTTCTAACATTCATTGAAACTGAAACTGAAAGNNGGATGTGCTGATATTCTGGAAATTCAGGATCTAGTCATATAGAGCAGTGTTGAGTCCCAGGTCACTGAGCTTGATGACAAGCTTGGAGGGCACTGGCACTGAATGCTGAGCTACAGTCAATAAGCACCATTCTCACATATGTGTTCCTCTGGACCAGGTGGGAGAGGGCAGTGTAGAAGGCTAGGCCAATCGTGTCATCCATTGAAACTGTAAGCAAATTCCAGTGGATCCAGTGACATATGAAGAGAAGGGATGATGATTGTAGATAGATAGATCGATCTGAGTGACACTGTTTGTTGATTATCGGAAAAAGGGGCAAAAGCCCCTCCGGAACAATGACTGGGTTTAGGGTCGAAGGGTTGTGACAAGTCTCTGTGAAAACCACAGTTACAGTTCATAGTGTTATGTTGAAAAACTACCTTGCACCTGAGTTCATCCAGCTTATTTTTCTGCCATCACCAAAGAACCGATATGTCAGTGACACAGGAGCTTGGAGGAACTTGAGACACGAACTACGCTTACATGCACAATTTTTTTTTTACTTTTATTCATCATGACTATAAATGAGAAAATTATGTCAATTACATATGAGGCAAACAAAACGACCATGTCAGTGCAGTATGAAAGTGGCAATTTATAACAAGCCTCCCTCTCCTGCCTGCTCCTCTTTGTCCCTACTGCTCCTCCTCCCTCCTTTCTGCCTAGCATGCTCCATTCATGCGTTTGGTTTTGTTTTGTTTTGTTTGTTTCTATGCCATTCACTGTGCTATGCTACCAGGGCTACAGGCGGGAATGCAGCAGCTAACAAGCCCAGCTAACCCACCCACAGCAGGCTTCTCCTCCACACAGAGCCCTGTGTGTTTGGATGCATTGACGTCATGACTGACGCACGGCGGCCTGGAGTAGCCGGCTCCATCAAAGGCCTGTATGCTCAGGCTTGAACAGAGGTATTATTAGACAGCAGAGGGAGAGATACACACAGAGAGAATGGGAGAAAAGGGGACTGAGAAAGGGACGGATGGGGAAGGAGGGGTTGGAGGGAGGTTTTGAATGAACGGCAGAATACCGTTCTTGCTCTCTGAGACTCACAGGATAATAAGTGCTCACAGAGGATGCAGATAGTTTATTTATTTGTTTGTCTGGCTATTTATCAGGNNAGATGTCATATATACAGGGAGTCACACTGGAGCAAATTTGCAGCCCTTGTCCCAGCCTTTTAAATAGACTTTTGAAATCAGGATAAAACAAATACACCTGATCTTGATATTTACAAAACACTCTTGCTTCAAGGTCCATTTAGTTGCTGTTCTAGGGCTTTCGATCATATTACATTTTTTCTTTTATTGTAAGCACCTTAAGGACTTTTCATCTTGTTATTCTTGATCTTAGAAGCAGTATTTGGCAGAAAAAAAATCTATGTTCAATTTATTCCTCCATAAAATGTGTAGTACAGCACTCTCATTCTGACCTCACCTCAAGGTCAATTTAGTTGCGTACAAATGCCACCTGTTGGCCCTAACCAAGATGAGATGTGGAGATGGGTCTGATGTCAGCCATGGCGCGGTGTTCCTGTAGAGCCCACTGCTTTGATTAGCTTGTGGGATACAACACCCACTTGTTTTTTCTTCTCTGTCTTTTTTCTGGAATTTGTTTGGGCCATCTAGTGGCC